CCATGAAGACATCAAGTGCAATCCAGAATACTCTTTGTGTTCCACAACTTGGCTAGGCGTGTCTGCGGAAGAAGACATTTGTGATGCTAAATGCCTCTTTCCCTCCTGGGGCCAAACCTGGGAGTTACAGTGATCAACCTGTGGGCTTCTCAGAAGACTGAGACATGCTTAGTTTCTGATGAAAGGTAGGAAAGCAGGGGAGTGACTCCCTTTCCCATATTAGAAAGTGCTCCCCCAATACTCCCCCCATCTCAATGACCACTCTCCATTTTGTTCATCTCAATGGTTAATTTGGTCCTCATAGAGAAACAACAAAGTTAAGTTTCTAAGAATACAAAGCTTGGGTTGGGGTACTGTGGCAGACAGAAACTGGGGAATCAGAATCCTTCCTTGAGAAAACACCAGGTGGGAAGTCAGTCCCAAGTGTACCAGGAGGGTAGCACATAACAGTTATAGCAAAGTTCTTATCCTTATTCTGATTTCTTTTGCTCAATCTCATTTCTTTTGGATATATGCTAATTGTCATTTTAAAAAGCTTTATGGACTAAACAGCACCTACATTTTATAGGGGCTCTGTTCATCATGCACTTGGCAATGGACAAGATGATTTTGGAAGATGAACTTGGAATTAGAAAGTGTTCCCCTCCAACCCCTCCCCCCTAGCTGAAACTAAGGACACTGAAGGAGTGTTTCTCCCCTCATTCCAGAATAAGATCATGCACCGTGGGGTACTGACTCAACAGCATTCTGATGCTAAGCAGCGAAATGTGACCTATGCTTCCCACACATATGAGCAATTAGAACAGCAAGCTTCTTGCGTGGGGGTTTTCCTACTGTCAATACCCACGAGACAAGAGAGGCAACAGAGAAGAGACCAGTCTCCTAGAAGGATAGAAGGTCCAGGGCTGGGCTGACAAGTGTTTCCTTTCTGAACAAACACCTACATCTATTGTGACCAAAAGAAGTGACTACTCTAGAGCCTGGTAACCCACTGGGTACACCTTCTCAGGGGTATTCATTTAGTTGGCAGAATGGAAAATTTCACTAGTCAAAAGAGTAACCTTGCTTTTACATCAAGCTCTCAACAGCATCCACGGGATTGTGGGAAAACAACAGGAGAATGTGGGAGGAATTTTCTTGCATGGAGACATCAAGAGCTGATCATGTTGTTTTCACCATTTTTCACATACACTAAAAAGGAACAAATGAATCCGATGGGAACTGCTAGGGCAGTTGGAAGGATGCAGGAACCTAAAGGACTGCCTCTGTTAAGAGTACAGGAGGGTGCAAGAGACTGAGCAACTCAAAGCAAGATCAGTATTTTCTTCAAAATAAACTTTTAATACTATTAAATTAATAAAAGTCCTTATACTTAAAGCTTCCTACTAGACCTCAAAGGGCTTCCAAGGAGCTCAATTTCCACATTTGCTCTTTTTACAAATGAAGCAATGGAGGCTGAGAAAAATGATCTACTCCCAGGTTATTGCAGACTCAAAAGAGAATCCAGGATCCCTGCTTCCAAGGACCACTGATGCAGACTTTGACCTCTTCGTGGCCTTTTTATCTGTTCAGTTCTTGTCGATATTTTCCCACACATGTTCCACAAAGGATTCACCCAACATGCTAGGTTTTTTTGTCAGTCTTTTTACATTTTCTGGGTACCACCCTTGATCCTATCCCACGACAAGCCCAACTCCATCTCCAGTCGTGAATTTCCTCAGTGATATATCTTTTATGCCATGTCTTGCACACAGGGCACAAATGCAGCAGCCTACTTGTGTCCACCGTCTTTTGGGTCATCTGCAACTTCGACTCTTTTAACATTTTGGTGTTCCATGATTAATGACATTGTATCACAGGGAAAACATTTATGTAAGAAAATAGTGTTTATGCTGTGGAGTAGCTTGGGATCATTAAAAGAACTGCAAAATTCCCCAAAAGCAATCCATCCTGTTCTCTTCTTCCTGTCCAATATGCTGTCTTTGTACTCCCATTCAATTTTGAGCCAATTTACTATCCATCTGCAATCCATGTTGCAGATACACACACACACACACACACACACACCCACCAACTTAATGGTCTAGTCACCTAACTATATATCATAGTCAAGACAATGGGAATTTTGACCCATTTAGTTTTTCCTATATGAATTTCTGAGGCAGTCTCTTTTGGGAAAGCATGGGTCTCACTGATGAGGTAATGATCTGGATTATAATATGATTTGCAAAGAGGAATATCTCACTAACTAAAGGGGAAAATTCTCTTCCATTTATTGGACCTTGCACAATACACCTTCTGTGCAGTGGCAAATGCCTTTGCCAAGCATTTATTTCTCCATTTGTGTCACTCTTGATCTTAATGATGTTATTGAAGTTATCTTTGTAGTTGCATTTATTAAGGGTTTTTGCATGATTTTAACATGCACATGAATGAGTCCCCTTATTGATCTATCAAGTCAAATGCTTTTCTGAAACAACAAAAAATCTGAAATACGATCTTGCATTCTCTGCACCTTTTATTCAATAGAACTGACAGATGATTGTCTGCCTTACAGAAACATTTGTGAAAATTTGTCTATACCCTTATAATATTCAACAAAGATATTCTTTATATATGCATAGAACAGTCCATTAAAGATTGTAGAAAGATGAGAAAGTATACATGTAGCTTGCTAGTTATTAATGGTCTTAATCATCTTTTTGGATAATAATGCAGTCCATGTTTGTTTGTTTTTTCCATTGTTTTGGTATGTTCCCCTACCTAGGCTATCTTATTAAACAATCCTTCAGTGCTTTCATGGTTGCTTTACTATTAGATTTCTTGAATATATTCACAATCTGGTCTAGTGTTGCTCTGCACGACTATCTTCTTAACATCGGGGACTGAGGCACTAGGATTTACGTATGATGATTCCTCTGTCACCGGTTATAAAAATAGATTATGGAAATTTTGAAAAATGTGTTCTATTTTCCATCTATTTGCTGGCCTCCTGCCTGTTTCATTAATGAGCTCTGCACTGAGGATGCTGACCTCACTTGTCCTCATTGTCATCACTTTTTGTTGTCATATGAGGTGACTCTTGGGTATTTTGATACAGGTGTGATCTCCCTGCTGTAGGTACTTCCCCCAGTGATGATGATCATAACCAATCTATGCCTTTTCATCCTGTTTTAGGACACATCCTTCTATAAATTCTCTATAGGGGATGCTAGCGGCTTTTTCTAGATCTCTTTGATGTAGTATGGAAGCATACAGGCCATCTATTAGTTATCCCTCACTCACATTTGGCCCACTTTCTTTTCCAGTCATGTATTTCTGTGATGGCTTTATGTTTATCCTGTGGAATTCTTGGTGTGTGGTCTGCCCATGACCACCATGTATTTCTCCAATGTCCTTTAATTTTAACTTCACTTCTTCAGTGATTATGGCATTCTATGAGTTAAAGTCATACAGCTCCACTAGAAAAAAAAATATTATTTTAAAATATAGGTATTTGTTTCAGGAAGAAGCTTGAACTCAATTAAAAAACACTATACAATTTTATAAGTCAAGCTTGCCTGCTTACCTCCTCCTAATAAATTCTGAGCAGAGGACACAGTAATACTGTTTATAATTTTCCACCATCTTTTGTAGTATTCTAACAAAAGAGTTTATATTCTAAATTGATATTGCTTTTGGCTCCACGTTTTTACACGTGTCAAGGAGTAACTTAGTGAAAAAGCATTTATTAAACACAAGGCACTGTGCCAAAGAGATCATGTTATTGGTTAAAGTAGTTTTGTGGCTCTTTTGGCCTCCCGGTTGTGGTAACTGTTTTAAATCAGATAAGTTTTTGCAGGAAATTATAATCAAGTCATAACATTTACATTTTTCCATTTCCCTTTTTTGCAACATCAGTGATTTGAATAGGTCAGATTTATAGCTGTCATTTTCCCTTTATCTTTTCTTCTAATTTGATGTTATTTTGCCTGTTTCTCCTTCTAGTCAGTGTCTGACTGCATGACTGGATGAGAAGAGAACTACTTCTGATTTGACTCCCAAATCTATACCCAGTCTGTTAAAATACAGTGAATCAAATTTTGTTATATGGTTCAGTGCTTGCCTTATCTAATACCTTACCTACCTCTTGGAGTTGTTGTGAAGACTGAATTAGATAATATTTACAAAGGACTTGACACAGTGTTTGGCACACAGGTGCTTAATAAATCCTTTCCTTTCCTTCCCTCCCTCCTTTCTTGGGGACAGTATTCATGGCATTTTGCAAGATAAAATCAACTCTGAAAAATCACACCTCCTCAGCACTACCTGCCCCTGGGGCCCCTCCCTCTCTCTGATTGGAGAGGACATTGGAGAGTTCCTCTCAGGTCCTCCCCCATTTAAAGAGGGCACCCAGAGAATTCACGTCGTCATTTCCATCTGTCCCCTTTTCTGGACCTCATGAGCATTAGGGAATCCATTGCTCTGCAATATAAAAATCAACTGTAAAACTCACATCCTCAGACCACTTTCCACTCTGGCTCCAAGACTTCATTATGCTAGGTCACCTTCTCCCCTATCTCTTCCCCCCCCCCAACTCCCACTTCTCAGGTTTTTTTTTTATGCATTGTCTTTCCACATTAGATGGTCATCTCCTTGAGGTCAATGACTGTCTCACATCTTTCTTTGTATCCCTAGCACTTAGTACAGTGCCTGGCAGGTTGTTATTCAGCCAGTCTGCCTCTTTGTGACCCCATGAACCATAGCACACCAGGTCCTGGACCTGAGAGGCTCATCTTCTGATGTTGTGCACTTTAATACTGTCCATGGGGTTCTTCTTGGAGTGGTTTGCCATTTCCTTTTCCAGCAGATGATCTTTTGTCAGAACTCTCCACTATGACCTGTCCATCTTGGGTAACTACCCCTTGCAAAGCATAGCTCATAGTTTCATTCATCCCTCCTGGATCACTGCCTTCTCATGGGGGGGGGGGACTTGCATCTCACACACAGCAGGCACTTAATAAATGTTTACTGATTTATTAACATAAAAGTATTACGCTTCTGACCTTTGGCCTTTATGGTTTTTCAAACCTGTCATTTCTCAATGTTTTATTGATGATTTTTTTATACTAATAATTTTCCAGTAAGCGTTCCCATAAAACCCTTTCTCATAATAAAGAAAAACAGCTAAGTAAAATTCCAATCCAACAGCTACAGGATGGTGTATGTAACATTTTGTACCCATAGTCTATTACCTCTCTACTAAGAGAAGGAAAGTGTTTTTCATCATCAATCCTCTGGAATCAAGATTGATCATTATATTTAATCTGAATTTTGATATCTTTTACAGTTTCCATTTACATTATTAGTCATTGTGTGTAATTTTTTTTCCTGATTCTGCTTTCTTCACTCTGCATTGATTCATACAAGTCCTCCCATATTTCTATGAATTTTTCACAATGCAATAATATTATATTGCATTCACATATCACAATTTGTTCAGCCATTCTCTAATCAATGGGCACACACTTTGTTTCCAATTTTATTGCTACAATGAAAAGGGCTACTATAAATATTTTGGTATGGGACCTTTTAGGAGCATAGATCAAGTGGTAAGATACATGAGTCTAAGGGTATGAACAGTGTAAGCTGCATAATATATCAGGTTGTTTTTCAGAATGGTTGGACCAATTCATAGTTCTAACAATAGTTTACTGGTATGCTTCCCCCCCACAGTTCCTCCAAAATTTACTCTTTTAAAACATTTGATTACTTAATTGGTATGAGGTGAAACTTCAGAGTTGTTTTAACTTGTCTTTCTCTTATTACTGATTTTCATATAGTTGTTGACTGCTCTTTTGAAAACTGCATGTCGTTTGACCACTTATCTGTTCAGAAACATGCATCATGTTTTCCAACATATATTTTCATCCTTCTCATCTTTCTAACTGAAGTCACTAAGTATCAAAGTACTGGCTTGGTTTGGAGGATCTCATCTACTTCTTTGTAGAATTTCTCAGTGTCTTCATTCTCTACAACGGACGCTGATGCATAAGCTGCAATTATTTATATGGTGGGCTTTGCTTATGCTCATGAGTACTAAAAGATGACCAAGGGTCCTATTAGTTATGTTTCTAATTGCCATTATAAATGTGATGAAACCAATTCTGCTAACTCCTTTGTCTGACTTTCAAAGGAGACAAACATTTATCAAATGCTAACTTCACCGACAAGCTTAATTAAGATTGACAGTTTAGTAGGCACTGACATAGTCAAGATAAATTAAGACATGGTTCCTCTCCTCAAGGAGCTTACAGTCTAACTAGTTCATATCTTTTAAGGAGACAATTATCTCCTCCTAAGAAGTCAGTAGAATATAATGATCAATCTTGATGTCTATAAAAACTATTTCAGATTCTCCAGAGATGTAAATGCAAGGTTAGGAACAAGGGACTAGAGGATCCTAACTAGGAATCCAAGAGTTATTTCAATAGAAGTACTATAGTTCATATCAGTGGAGATAAATGGTAAAGCGCTCATTGTGTGTGTAAACTCAGAATACAAACAGAAGTGGGTTTGTCATCTGTGGAACCTGTCTTTATTCGTCCATATAGAGAAGCCTGGCTTCAAAAGGTACTTGCATCATCCAGGCCCCCATGGTGGCTCATTCTGAAAATTAATATCTCCATGAAATGTTAGCAACTGGAGAAAATTCTGCTTAATTGGATCAGCAAGAGATTTAGGCCATTTCCCCTGAGCCTCCCATTAAGTGGATCTTAAGTGGGTTTTCTAGGGCTGGATGGGTCATGACCAATGTAGGCATGGTGGTGGCTTTGATCTCCCAAAATTGTTGAGTTTACAAATGACTGTTTTAGGGCATCTCAGATGAAACCCTTCTGGAAAGCCCTTGGAAATGTTATTTTAGCAGGAAACACACCACACACACACACACACACACACACACACACACACACACACACACACAGGAAATGAGATATTTTTAGGTCTGACCATATAAGCTAACCAAAGAGATTATAATTATAGAGAGCAGAAAATCCTTAAAGGACGTTCTCTCTGTTCCATCCTCCAAAGAGAAATTTTACTCAAATAGAAGTGAGAGTCAGGATTTCAGAATCCTGTGGCAACATGAAAAGGAGGTGGTATCCAGGGAGAGAACCAAAATTTATAGCTCTGCTTATAGTAAAAATATGAATTTGAAGTTCCATTTGGTGCCTATTACCTTTAAATCTCTGACAAGTGGAAAGATCGATCTTGCACAATGTTTTTAGTACAATCTTTGAAATGAAGAGAACAAAGACTTCTGTAAAAATATATATGTATATATAGATGTGGGGAGGAGGAACATAGAAGATTCCAAACACACCTGTAAGAGGGAAAATATTAGAGAGCCATGGTGACAACTGGAGGCTTGAGTCACTTATTAACATTAAGAGGAGTTGATGTCCATTAGGATAACAGTGTGTGGCACAAATTATAGACTGTGGTAACTGAATCAGAAGAGAGTCTCAGAAAAAAGGAAAACAGTGAAAGGAGAAACTGAATAGTCCTATAGCAGCCATCTCTTTCTAGCAATGGAGCAGAGGTTTATCCCCTCACTATACCTACTGCCATCCTGAGTGCTTCAGGGAAGGGAAAGGTCAGTTTTTCAGCAAGAACACATGAACTGATATAAAAGAGAAGTACTTTCTACCATACCTGGGGAGAGGAAGCCGTATGTTTGTCAGCACATAGTCTGAATGCTGGTCACCAGCTTCTGAGATGTTCAATGACATACTCTGTTAAGTAGAGTGGGAAGGCAGCCCACACTGAACACACATGCCCACCACAGTCATGACTGACAGCAGCAACTGCTCATGGACAACAAAACTTACCCTTAGAAACTAAGCTTATAACAAAGGACCACGTAGGACAGAGGAGAGAGACGTGATGGGGTCCAAATGGACACCACCGTACAGGGACATCATCATCTTATGCTTGAGGCACCCAGCACGCTGACCTTTCTTTGAAAATAGCTGCTGATCCTTGGCCTGCCCAGGAGGAACTAATGTAATCAAGGATGGAACACTTCATTAAAACCCACATCCCCTCCCGCCAACCAGTCAATACTACCTAAGTGCTCAGATGGGAAGAGAAAAACGAAAAGAGGTCCCACAAGGTCTCCCTGCTTTAAACCTTGCTCCTGTCCCTGCTAAAGTCTCAGTTTCTTCACCAAAGGAGTTCAGGCAGCACTGAGCCAGCAGTTGTTGGCTTCAAGCTGCCTCTGGCCCAAGAGCAGCAAGTTAAAACGTTTGCTTTGGCTCAGGCTTGCACATTTGGCTGATTTCCACCCTTCAGTCCTGCTTGTCTCCTTTCTGCTTCCAAGGGTAGATGAGCTCACCAAAGAATAGCTTCTTACACAGTGAGCCCCAGGAGTCCTTAGGGTAACAGCTGTAGGTGGGGAGACGGTAGGTTTGTACCACACTGCCATATGACAAAGGATTGATCTGTAAATACACAACCGGGAAAGGCAGGAGCAAAGATGAGATGGTATACTTTGGACTTAAACTAAAGACAGTAAGGGTTGGCATAAAGTATGTATGTAACGGATTGTACACGTATAACCTATATCAGATTGCTTGCTGTCTTGGGGAGGGGGGAAGGATGGAGAAAAATTTGGAACTCACGATCTTACAAAAATGAATGTTGAAAACTATCTTTTACATGTAATTGGAAAAAAAACACCATTAAGTGCAAAAAATAAAACAAAATGGAATGAAGATTAAAAAAAAAAGGACAGAACTTTGGTCCACAGCTTCCAAAAAAAAGTATGCATGTATTTACCTCCCTACTTTAGTCTTGGTCTTTCTTACATACTCCCAACTGTGCTGCTGGGCACCCCAGGGGATCTACAGGAGGTAGAAGAATTTGCTTTTGGGCTCATTGCCAGATTTCCTCCTGAAGACTATGTGCCATGTTTAAATGGTTTTGCAGTAAAAGACACAGTCGTGCTGAGAATTCAGAGCAGTGCCACATATGCATGACATCTCTTAGAAGATTCCTGTTCCTTGAGGATGTACAGAGTGCAGATGCACAGGAAGTAGCTAAGGTCCCCGTTCAGGCGGCTGGTCACATCAAAGACCTCTTCTAGTCCTAGGATTTTTCTCAGTCTAGACTGAGGGCTTCCTCCATGCTCCAAACTTCCCTTCACTGTTTTCCTAAGCAGAATATCCTCAGGGGACTTTCTGGGATAACCCAAGGGATGTAGAACTAAGCTCAGAAGTGAAAGAACTAAAGACTTGCCATGACTTAGGCTGTGGTATGTCCTTGAATGTTTTCTTAACTAGATGTGCTCAGAGCGGAGGGGAAAGGAGTGGATCCTTTGAAAACTCCTGTGTCCCACTTCCTCCCTGTAATGAGGGGTTTTCAGCAGGATTATCTGGGTTGTAAAAGAAATAAGCAAAGTGATAACTGCTTTAAGTATATAGGAATAGAACCTACCCAACTTCTACCTTCTTGTTATGAAATTATAAGAACGTAAGTTCTTGTAAGAGAGCACTAAGTTAAATGATTACAGTGAGACTTGTATGCAAAAAACTATAATAACTTTTCACTGAATAATTTTAAGTTTCTGAAAACCAAATATAAAGTCCTACCTAAATCCTAGTTCGTAGGTCATATGGAACACTAAATGCACTAGGAATCAGGATATTTGGTTCTAGTCTTGCTTCTGGAAGATGTCTTCTGAACTTTGGGGCAGTCTACTAAGTACCTTCAGGACCTCAGTTTCCCCAGCATTACTCCTCACTACAATGCCATTGGGGAGTTCAGGTCCTTAGAGAAAACATTTTACTGAATTCCCAAAGGATCTTATGAAACTAAACTTCCTTAGATGGGTTCCAAGATGAACCCGACTTAGGTAGTATTCCTATTTATTGGAAATGGTATTTCAGAAATGTATCAGTGGACTAATATGGATCATGTTATGAATTGGTTTCAAGGAAAGGAAACTTTATCTTTATACTATTAGCTTGCTATTTCTAAACTTTTCCTCCTGTATAGGATCACAGAGTAAAAGAGCTGGAAGGGGCCTTAGAGATTGTCTAGTCTAGGCCTTGCTCAAGGTCACATAGTAAATAGCAGAGTTGACACCTGTACCCAATGGCTTCTGGTCCCTAACACTGGGCTCTTTTCATTCTATTTCTACAGGTTATCAAACTTCTTTAGATGGACTTACTGGACAGCAGAGTATAAACCTTCATTTAACTTACCAGGGAGAAAATAGGTAAGACAAAAAAAATCTTGCTTAGTCCATGTTTTGTAACTTCCAATGAGAAAGTATTGTTAGTGACAAGCCACTCCTACTGAAAGATTTATTAGTCATCTTTCCTATGTTCCTTCATAGAGAATGAGCTTTACATACTGAAGTATGAAGCTCTGATGTTTGTTGTTGCAAGGCAAAGCTGGGCCTGTAAAAACCCATTAACAGTTCCAACTTGTCTGAAACTTCACTTGAGTTACTACAGTGACTCAATATTGTTAAATAAGAACAAAGCATTTCCCAAACGGACTGCTCTGAGGTAAAAGGACCAAACCAGAGTTGTTAAAAAGCAGGCACATTTATAAAAGGCTTTATGTGCAGTCATTATTCTTGTTCCTAATTATGATCCAGAATACTCCTCCTCCTCCTCCTCTAAATAGAAACCAGTTTTATTTAAGACACTACAACCAGTAGGGCAAGTCGTTTGGAGGAAAATTGCTGAGAACAAACCAAAGGGAACATGCATTTTAGACAAAGCTGAATAATGTGGTCTTGCTGCAGGCTGTTTTATATTGAAGCACACTTTTAAAAGCACAAGGATCAGCTTCCTGAACTAAATAAACAAATGGTGGGCTTTCGTGACCTGGTACTAATGGATCCTCTTCTACAGAAAAGCAAATTTTCCTACTTCCTTCTCTCAGCTCTAAATGGGTCACTGTCTAAAATTAATCTGCTGGAAGCTGATGGCAGGTGGGGCTCTAAACTCCAAAAGATCACATTCCCACAGGTCCTTTCATAACTCAGCTATGCACAATATGTTCACACTCTTGGTTTAGGGCTGAGAATATTTTCAATAGGCTTGCTGAATAAGCTTAAAGAATAGCTGGTGTGTGGTTTTAAAATATATTTTTAACAAGAAAGTTGAGGTAACTTTGTTAAGGGAAAGATTTAATTGGCCAGTGAACCAGAAAATCCCTAGACTATGAATTATAATTTTGAAGGGCTCTAAGATCTCACAGGTTCTACTCTATTTCCATACAGTTTGTTAACTGTATCGCAAGTTTGTTAACTGTATCGGATAGGTGCTACTTTCTAGAGAGGGAAAACGACCCTGTCAGCAGTTGAATCTTCTTAGAGAAAGAAGCAAAACCAAAGCTATGCCAGCAATGTTGCAGGTGAGCCCAATTTATCCCCCCTCCCATTATGAGAATAGGCACATGAATGACAAATGGACATTTCTGAGAAAACTGAAGTAGAACAAAATGGCCTTCTATTCTCTTCTACCTTGTCCATAAAACTCAGAAAAGCCATCAGGGAAGGTAAAATTACTAGGGGGTCCACATTTTTGGAAATGTAGCTAATGTAGCTGGGATCTTTATGTTAGCCCTGGTCATAGCCACTGGCTGAAAGCAAGCATGATTTGGCCTGGTGTTACCTGCATCAACAGTCGAAGGGGTCTGCCTGCTTCCTGCTCCAGGACTCTGAACTTTACACCAGCTGAAAACCAAAGAAAAGATGTGTGTTGAATGAAGGAGAAACTGCTGTTCTTGGCTCACTTCGGCCTAGTCTTACTGTACCTAAGGGACAAACACTAGCGGGTGAGTCAACACAAACTGAAATCACCTGACTGTATGTGTAAAAAGACTAAAAATATCTGTCACCCCATTCTGCTTGTAAACAAAGGGGATGAGGAGGTGGAGGAAGAAATTTCACAGACAGAAAAAGAAATTTTCTCTCTTAGAAACTCAGTTCCAGGACCTAGAAGCCTATCTGGGAACTACATACAACTTTCATCCTCTCTCTTTTCTGAATTATGCCTTTTTAAAAAATTCTCATTTTTTGAGAGTGGAGAATAGGGGAGGGCTGACTATCAAAAAAACCTCACAAAACTTTTCTGAAACAAAGGTGAGATTTCTAACAGGGAGGGGAAAGGTGATTACTTTTCACAGCTGGGCTGTCAGTGTGGTGATAAGGTTTTTGTCTCTATTGACTACCAAATCAATTCAACTTAATGAAACTTGACTCCTCACTCCAATCTAGTTCAACCTACCTTCCACACTCTTCTCCACCATATGTCTGTCCTTTGTCCCAGACCAACTGGACTACTCACAAATTACCGCCTCTATGTCTTTATTTTTTGAATGCTCTCTTCATCACGGCCTGATAAAACTTCTCTCATCCTTTAAGGCCCAATTCCAAAGCAACTCATTCTTTGAGGATTTTCCTAATCATCCCCCATGTTTTCTCTTGGTCCTTGCATAGCATTAGATTTTTCTTAAGCTTTTATAGCTTAAGCTGAATTATATTATTACATAGTTAGTGTATAGCTATTGTATAGTTACAATATATTATTACATTATATTATATTGATATATTATAATGTATAGCTATTGTATAGTTATAATATACTATTATATTATATATTATATAATAAGTGTGTTATATCTTCCCTAGAGGTAGTATGACCTGGTGGGGAGAATTGTTCTTCAGTCATTTAATCCTGTCTTTGTGATCCCATGAACCATAGCACACCAGGTCCTTCTATCCTTCACTATCTCTCAAAGTCTGTCCAAGTTCATGTTTTTTTATTCCTTGACACTCTCTATCCATCTCATCCTTGACAGTCTCCTATTCCTTTTGCCTTCAGTCTTTCCCAACAGCGGGGTCTTTTCCAATGAGTCCTGTCTTCTCATTATGTGGCTAAAGTATTTCAGCTTCAGCTTCAGTATCTGACCTTCCACTGAATAGCCCGAATTCATTTCTTTAAGTATTGATTGATTTGATCTCCTTGCTGTCCAATGGACTCTCAAAAGTCTTCTCTAGCACCACAATTCAAAAGTGTTGATTCTGTGGCATTCAGCTTTCCTTGTGGTCTGACTCTCACAGCCAGACACTGCTATGGGAAAAACCATAGCTTAGACCTTTGCTGGCAAGGTGATGTCTCTACTTTAGTATGCTGTCCTTCCAAGGAGCAAGCTTCTTTTAATTTCATGACTTTGAACCTAAGAATATAAAATCTGACATTGTTTCCATTTCTTCTTCCTCTATTTGCTAGGAAATGATGGGACCAGTTGCTAAGATCTTAGGGGTTTTTTTTTTGATGTTAAGCTTCAAGCCAGCTTTTATGCTCTCTTCTTTCACTCTTACTAAGAGGCTTCTTAATTCCTCTTCACCTTCTACCATCAGTGGAATCATATGCATTTCTGAGGTTGTTGATATTTCTCCCAGCAACCTTAATTTTTTAGAAATTTTTAAATTAAAATTTTAAATAAGACTTGTAATCCATCCAGCCTGGCATTCTGCATGATGTAATTTCCATATAAGTTAAATAAATGAGGTGACAAGATACAGCCTTGTCATACTCCTTTTCCAATCTTAAACCAATCCATGTTCCATTTTCAGTTCTAACTGTTGCTTCTTGACCTGCATACAGGTTCCCTAGGAGACAAGTAAGATGATCTGGTCCTTCTGTATCTTTGAGGATTTACCACATTTTACTATAATCCACACAAAGGCTTTGGTGTAGTCAATGAAGCAGAAGTATATATATGTTTTTCTAGAACTCCCTTGATTTCTCCATAATCCAGTGAATGCTGGCAATTTGGTCTCTAGTTCCTCTGCCTCTTCAAACAGCAGCCTGCTCTTCTGGTAGTTCTCAGTTCACATATTGCTGAAGCCTACCTTGCAGAATCTTAAGTATAACCCTGTTGGTGTGTCAAATGAGTGCAATTCTTTGGCATTGCTCTTCTTTAGGATTCGGACATAAACTAATCTTCTCCAATCCAGTGGTCACTGTTGAGTTTTCCAAATTTGCTGACATACTCAGTGGATAGAGAGCTGGCCTCAAAAACTGAAGTCCTTCCCCTGATACATCTTGGCTAAATGATTCAGGGTAAGTCACTCAACCTCTCGGTGCTTTAGGCAACTGTCTAATACTGTTGATTTGCATTGGAAGAGGGAGTTTCTTCACCTGGAATTTTCCTTACAATACTATAAGGAAGGTAATGCAAGTGTTACTGTCCCCATTTTATAGATGACAAAACTGAGGTGTGGGAAAGTTAGATGACTTGTCTATTATTCCACAGTAAGGGGTAATGCAGAGATTCAAATTCAGGTCTTCTGATACCAACACCAGTACTCTCTTTTGATCCCATTATACACCAAGTAGGAGGCTAGATAAGATGACCTCTAAAGTTTATTCCAATTCACAGTTTCTATTGATCACCTAAACAGGTAAATCAGGCAGATAAATTTATATATAATACAGGCTAATCCAAGATCCAACTTGAATATGAAGACCTAAGTATAAATGTCTTTTTTGTGTAGAGTCTGACCCACCATAAATAAGGGCCACATGCCAGGCAAGAAAGGATGAATGACACTTAGGCAAAAATTGGGCCAGTGAATTCTAGGCCAGAAGGAATCCCATGATGCCTGGGGTGTGGTCACTTAGGTATAAGCCAGGCTTGTTGTGGGGGTCTTGAACCAGTTCTGATCACTCATGTGAATGTCCTGGGGATGCGGGTCTAGATCTTAGTGGGTCAGTTATACTGAAGGCCTCTGCCTAACCCTTACGTTAAAGGAATGCTGCAGACTCACATACTTCAGAGCTGAAAGAAGCTCCAGATCATCCACCCTAGCTTTAAGTCCTTTCCTTTTCTTCTTAACACTTCCCCAAAGCTAAAAATGCTAGCATTTTGGCATGTTATTATCTCATCTGTTTTGCAATAAAACTGTTGGGGCTGCAGGTGCTTGTTTTTCCTAGCGTCAAGCTGAATGGTGGCACTCAATTCTGTGTGTGAAGGGAGGAGTGAGAGGGCGTTATGAAGGAAGTCCAATCTGGCCAGAATTCGTGATCGATCTGTACACCAAACCGTTACTTTAGTTAGTTTTAAACTAAATCATGCTAATGTTTTCCCTTCAAGATGATCTGGAAAGTAACTGTCAGAGGTTTTTTTTGTTTGTTTGTTTGTTTTTTGGGTTTTTTTGGTCAACAGAGTTTTTGAAGAGCTTCAATGCCAAGACAAGAGTGATTCTGCTAATGGATAAACTAAAAAGGGTTGAGCTCAGACTTAGGAAGTCACTCAGCTGACCTGCCCTCTCACCTTTCTGGTCTAGGAACTGTGCTGGTCATGGTACAGGAAGTAACTTTCACTCATATTTTAATTAAACTTGCACTAGAAACTCTAGATCAAAGCAAATGGGTAGTAAGTGAGAGATATTACAAAAACACAACGAACATTTCTGCTCTGGGCCAGGACAGGTGTGAAGAAGTTGGTTTTTATGAACCAAGAGGTTCATTAAAATGGGAAGCGATTACAATCTGTTCCTTATATAAACAAGTCTGCCCAGCCTAAACCTAAACAGGTTTTTTAAAAAAATTTTTTCCCCTGCAACTACTTTATAACACCTATTACAGCTTTACTTTAATTTTTTGCCAGATATTCCTAACTTGATTTTGCAGACTCAGATTTGGAAGGAACCTCAGAAGCTACCTTGACCAACTAGTACATTTCTTTGGTTTAACTGGTAAAATGAAATACAGCTAATTTATTATCCAAGTCCAGGCTCACTTTGGAGCACAGAGTCTGACAGCATTCAGCCAATTAAGGAATCACTTTGGAATAAGTGGAATAATAGCAGACATCACACAGTACTAGATGCAGTAAGCACTTAATACTTATTGAATTCTTTTGCTAGCACAGCAAAACCAGTACCCAGACACAGCACTTACCTGCAAGTCTGTAGGACCTGCACAGCCGAAGACCAATAGAATAGAGGGGGAGGGAGTCTATAAGGTCCACTAGAAAATGGATCAGCCCTTGCACGATCACCACCAACAGACGAAGCTAGAATAAGAAAAGCAGCACTGTGAAAGGGCCTCCAGGAGAGACAAGCAGGTATTTTCCCTGCCAGCACTGCCCAATCCAACCCAACTCTGGACACCCTTGCTGCCATCATGGGAAAAAGGCTCTCTGCTTTGCCTACACAGCTAAAACCCCAGGGGGGACTGTACCTTTCTGATCTAGGAAGTCAGAAAAGTACATTGTTGGAGTCTGTGAAGACTACTAAAAATAGCTAGCATTTATACGGCTCTCTAAGGATTGCAAAACACTTTACAGATGTTATTCTCATTGAACTCAGACTCAGAGCATATTGTCTATTTTAATTCTGAAACCCAGGTGTCAAGGAGTCAAAAACAGAGCCAGATTTTCTAGTTGAAATTAGAAGTTTCTTAGCATTCTACAACATTCCCTGAAAAAGGAAGGCAACCAGGTAAGTCAAAGTTGGCAAGGAGAAATTATATAACACAGTTTCTTGAATAGTTTTGTCTGGCACACGACACAGTTATGATCCTTGCCAATAAGTCATTTCAGAACAACTACTACCACCTAATATGGAAACTTTGTCTGAAGAGGAGTAGAGATCAACCTGCTGGCTGATCTTTCAAAGACAGATGTGACTTCTTAAGTCCAGTAGTAGCTAAATCCGTTCTAAGGATTAACTGAGGTATGCAAAGGTAAGCACTATTCCAAGCCCCTCAGGGACCACTGAGGCCCCAGCAGAAATTTACTAAATCAAGGGTGGAAAATTCCTATCCTGAAAGACAGAAGGTAGCACAACAAGCCGTTTGCTTGCTGACTGCGTCCTGCCTTAAAGTCTCTGCTAGACACTTCCTTCTACCATTGGTTTCACTGCTTCCAGGACTTTTTTAGTCACTACAGATGGCCTAGTACATACTCTGTACATTTTCTTGTCTTCATATGCAAAAAAAAAAAAAAGGAAAGAAAGAAAAAAAGGGAATCCTAAAAAGGCTAACATTATCTATGCTTTGTTTCCCTACTAATTGCTTTAAAGAGCACCTATCAGCTAATGAGGGAATCATGAACCAGAAGAATGCCTACTGCTTTCTGTCTCAAGCTCAATACTAAGGTTTTTGGCATCAAAAAAGGCATGGTGGATGCTGACCATCTGCCAGATGGCCAAGGATCAAAGCAGACAAGTGATTATCTTAGCAATTCTGTATGGGAAAATTAAATAGAATCCAGGGGAAAGACAATGGACCAGGTTTTAGTTGAGAGACTTTTAAGTATTCCCTAGAGAAGACAGAACTTGGCAGTATGTACTTTTGTCTCTTTCACCTGTGGTCCTAGCAGGGAGTACAGCATATTAAACTGAAATGGAGCAAAAAAAAAACCAAACCAGATTGTGGATGATTTTCAGATGTCACTCATATAGTAGATCAATAGAATCAGACACTGGGGTTGTCCACTTACCAGAGTAAAGACCAAATAGTAGAGGGCTGTGGTGGGCAGAAGGAATAACAGGATGGTAAAAAGCAAAGTCCCAATAAATAGCTGTAGGACAAAACATACATTCACATATTGAAAGTTAACTGGAGGCAGAAGGACCTATACTTGAAAGTATCCTTCTCCTAAAACTGGAGAAACTTTGGGTCCCTTCTTTTTGCTCTGAACTCATCTTATAACTAAAAAGAACTTCAGCTAATCTTAATGGTTTGGTTTTCACAAGAAAATTCAATAAACAATTCACTGTCTCTGAAAGCTTCCTTCTAATAAAGCTGCCTGGCCCAGTTCAGTGTGTTGTATTTTAACTGTATCACAATTTAATTACTGATACTATAACGTTTGATCACTTACAGCCAAGAGAATGGCAAAGACTGATATAAAACTAGAGGGGCCAATTTTCTTCTTGCAAAGTAAAGGAAATATTTATCATCAAGGGAAGGGAAGAGAGATGCTAAAATAAGCATTTATTAAGCACCTCCTATGTGCCAGACAGTGTGTTCAGTGCTTTACAGATATTGTCAAGATAAAACAAAAACACATTTCAAATGCTAGACTGTCCAGATGGTAAGAACCCAATATCCTTAAGTGGTCAGAATTTGAACAGTTAATAAGAAAAAGACCCAATCCTGGTCCCTTGAGAACTTCTAGGTGAAAATACCATGGTCAAAGTAATTGTAATTAAAGCTTTTCTCAATAGGTCTTACTGGCCACAATCTACTTTTTTGTGCAAGATGGCTTTAGAACCTAACTCTACTTTCTAAACAGGTATGTCAGGGGTTAGAAGTGTTTCCAGGAAGAGGCTGATTGTTCCTTTTTGTTTGTTTGGTTTTTTGCTTAGACAATTGGGGTTAAGTGACTTGCCCAGGGTCACACAGCTGGTAAGTGTCAAATATCTGAGGCCGAATTTGAATTCAGGTCCTCCTGAATCCAAGGCTCTATCCACTGCACCACCTAGCTGCCCCTTGACTGTTCCTTAATAGGATTCCTAGGTCCTAGCTTTCCAGTAAATCTCTCCCAGCATAGGGAGGAGAGAATATATTATCATTCAAGGATGCCAACAATCAAATTCTGATTTAAGGTTAAAGCACATCAAGAGCAATAAGGTGTCATCATATACTCCTTCCCCACAATTTGGTCTAGAGTAAGCTTTAGTTAGCAGTTCCAATTAAGTTAGATTATAACGTTCAGTTGCTAAGACCCCTAGATTCCTGAGCACTTGACAAAAGCTCAAAAAGACAAAAGTCAAGAGGTCTAAACTTCTTCCTGGTGGCGTCTGGAACCAAAACACCTTCCCCATACCCTAAGTAAGAAAGACTAATGTCATTTTGTGGTAAAGGGGCACAGTGGGGCCTTGTGGAGAGGACACAACTCCCCAGGGCCTTGGTGTCTCTACAAGCTAATTGAGCCCACAAGCAGGTTCTAGATGAAGAGAAGGGGTAAAGGAGGTGGAAAATGTAAAGCTGCTTCCTAGAAGTAGGATAACTTGGAAATGCAAAGTGCTTTTAGGGGGCATTTTACTTTAAAAAATGTTACTCAGTTATGAATAAGGTATGTTGCTGTCCTCCACTCTTGATCCCTTTTCATTCCCTTGGCCTCTCTTCCTGGAAGTTCTCCTGCTCCTGTATCTCTGTTCATTAGACTTTGTCTGTGATATACCTTCTTTGGTTCATCCTATTGTCACAAAATGCAATGAACAAGAATAGGGTGGTAGGAAAGGGGTTCGAAGGAAAGGTGCCCCAAGGGGCAAAAAGGAATCAGGAGTAATCTAGGGAAAGAATGCTATGAGAACCAGAGAGAAGTGAAGGTCAACAATATGTACTCCTCATAACTGAATAATAGCTTCAAAAAATAAGCTGTCCCCAATCCTGAGAATTACTTCAGTACTACTGGCCATGATGAAGACACAACAAAGCAGAAAAGGGAAAATGAAATTGACTTGCCCAAGATCATGCAGTGACTTCACCAGTGGTACTTGAATATCATGCATAAACAGAAAACTATTCCACAGGAAAAAGAGGAATAAACATTACCAGGAGCTTTCTATTCTGGATTCTCATCCATTTAATAATTCACAGTAGATGAAAACTGATTACCCTCAAAGCAAAATGTATTGGAAAGCCCACTGGATTAAAAGTGTCAGGTTAGGCTTTACCACTAACTAGCTATGTGATCTTAGGCACGGAACATCACCAGTCCGGACCTCAGTTTCTTTGTCTGCAAAATGAAGGGTTGGACTAGATAATCAATAATATTCTATGATTCTATGAGATGCCACTGAAACTGCTTGGTTAACTCTTGGATCCCATCCATCCCTGTCCTCTCTTCCCCTTCTCCCAAACATATACAGAATACACAATGTTATTTTGTTCTATCTTAGATGCATGGACAAGCAGCCTTCTTGTATAAACCAGTTCTCCCTTGTAGGCACATTTTAAATCATGATAAATAAATCTTTTTTCCAGGACTGTGCTTTCCACCCATGGCCATTTGTTAATTATTAATGTAGGAAAGAGTAGAGTCCAGTTATGACTCAATACCTTCATGACTATGCTTATTTAAGGTTTCTACTACCCTAAAAAACTGGATACTGGCTCTTGGCCTTAACCATTGTGGTTTATTCTGAAACTGTACCACAGGAAATAAGCAGGATGGCCTAATAACGTTAGAAGGTGAGGAAAAAACCCAAACACCGGACTGACCTGCTTGGAATTACTAGGTTAAAGGCAGAGACCAGGACAAATCAGGCAGGGGGGATGTTCAAAGAAGACTACGCTGCTAAATGGCCAATATTGTGGTTAGAAAACTATACAGGGGTGCAGAAAACTGCAGGCAGCCTGATAGAAGGCTCTGGTTCTTGCAAGTTTGCTTTTATTTTACTATTTAAGTCTTTATCCGAAGCATAAATAATGATATATATCATGAAGAGCAGGGAAAACAAGACCCTTTCCATGAGCTCAGGCTCTTCTAGTGCAAGAAGTATGGTGAAAGGAGTGGGAAGCACCTCTATTTTAGTCTTGAACAATGGGTAATTCAAAGGACTGGCCTGTACAGCAATCTGAGCAGAAGATGGATTTTAGGTTGCACACCAAATGCTAGAAACTGCAGATGAAAGCAGCCTACATTGTATTCATTTCCAAACACTGGAGTATAAGAATTGCATATTTTCTGCTAATACCTGATCCAAATCATAGGAACAGGAATCCACCCGCTGCCTCAGGACATTCCATTTCTTTCCTCGGAAGAGGCGCCAGAGAGAAGACAAGCCATAGATCTTCAGACAATACAATCTACAGAAAAAAGGAATGATTCAAGTAATAATCATCTAGGACTCATGAGTCCTAGGAGATGAGAAAAACTGGGGATTCTACAACAAAAGTATTTATCAGAGGTGACCTAAGATGCTTAGTAGGATGATTAGGTGAGTGGATATTTTTCATTAGAGGGGCAGCTAGGTGGCACAGTGGATAGAGCACCGGCTCTAAATTCAGGAGGACCTGAGTTCAAATCCAGCCTCAGACACATAACACTTTTACTAGCTGTGTGACCCTGGGCAAGTCACTTAACCCCATTGCCTAGTTCCCCCCCCCAAAAAAAAGATATTTTTCATTAGTTACTCAGAAAAGCTAGGTTATATTTTTTTTCTTTTTTGGTTTTTTTTGTACAAAGATGTGATTTTATTAATGTAGGGAGTTCTAGTGTGAGGAATCTCTTTCTAACAATTCTGATTGGCAGCTGCTGTTCAACTTAGCACTTCAGAGAAGAATCTAGGGCAATGAGAGGTTAAGTGATTTTGCTCAAGGTCACCCAGCCTCCGTCCATTATGATATGTTCACTCTTGAAGATTATTTTCACAGGAACAAATTACTCCTCCCACCCATTAACTGTCCTACTCTAGTCCCCAGAAACTTTTAGTATACTAAGTCATGATACTAAGTTCACATTTCCTTTACATTTTACAAAGTGCTCTTCCTATAGGGCAGACTGTGGAAGTATTATTATCCCCATTTTAAACTAACTGAGTAAGCAGTGGCCCAGAGGGTTTAAGTAATTTGTCCGAGGTCCCACCACTAATAAGTGGGTATGATGCAAAGACCACTGAATTTGGAGTAGGAACACCAGATTCAGATTCCAGCTGTGATGGAAGACTAGCAGGTATTTCACCTCTCTGAATCTCGGTTTCTCAGCTGAAAAATGAAGTCACTGGCTGGCCTTTATTGTCTCCTCCAGTTCTAACTCTCCAGAGCTCAGACTCAAACTTTTATTCCATGTCCAGTGCTCCTTCCACCACACCAAGCTGACTCTGAGTGTACTGGATAGCTCTGTGGAGTAGGGTTTTCCAGATCACACCCTGCACTATCTGCTTAAGATTTTGGTCTTCCTCGTCTACACTTCTCTGTGGAAAGTTTTAACTAATAAGGAGATTTGAAAGAGATGGTGTGAAATGAGCTTAACTTGCTCTGCTGTGAACCTGTGGGCATGGTCAGAGGTCTATGCTCAGCTCCTTGGGGGAATAATTATGCCAATTGTACCCACCTGGCTCCATAGACATAAAAGCAGTAGATGTGGAAAGTGAGGAGTGCAATGATGTCTGAAAGTATGGACAACACCACCGTGAGACCCAGGCATGCTGAAAGACCTACATACCACAGGATCATTTCAATGAATGGGGACAACAAGTGGATATAACCTAGAAGAAAAGAATAATTTCCCTTATCAGAAGGTCCGTCAGAATGATTTCAGTTGGATGTTTCTCTTGGAGCAGCTTTAAAAGTTGGAATCACCCAAAGCACACAAGTCACACACTAGGAAACTAGGCTTCTGTCCCTATCTAACTGTAGAGGGCTTGGTCTGACAAGTCTGAGGATTTAGGCCAGGCCGGGTTTTACCTATTGCCTGTCCTTGGTCTGAGGGCTGCCTAAGTCAGAACACAGGCTCTCCAACCCGCCTTACTACGTCTCTCTTGAGAACAGAAGGACACTTGAAGATAACGGGGAAGGGAGGAGATGGTTCGGGGGGGAACTCCCCCTAGTTACTGTTCCCATGAGAAAAATAATTGCTGATACTTCATCTTTGCTACTCTGGGTTCTGTTCCCACGAATGAGGTATAAAAACCCTAGCCCTCAGATCAATAAACGGAACCGGTTCTCTACCTGTTACCCACCTGGCCCGAGTATTTCTTTATCTCTCTCATACTCGCCAAAGTATAAACACAAAGTCCATGACATCTAACAAATGGCTTCAAACCATCTTTTAGTCACTTGTGCCCCTCTAGTTACTGTGGAATAAGACCTGACTCTCTCCTCCCCATAGTTTATGTGGAGACCACATCTGTAAACCAACTACCTCCCACTACTTTCTTGAGAGCAGGGAACATCTCACTTTTTTTGTTTCTCCCCAACACCGAGAATATTTCTAGGCACAAAGCAGGCACTTAATAAATTACTTCATACCACTCTTTCCTGCCAATGCTACTAGGGCCTTCTCATTTCCCACTGGGGCATCATTTGATAGCAGAGCACAGAAAACAAGGAAAAGCTGTACTTACTAATCCAAAGGTGAATGTGGTAGAGAAAGAAGCGACCCAACACCTGGTCCAAAGCTCGATTCATTTTTAGACCAGCAGGAACTCCCATCAGCCATTGCAGCAGGTCCTGGAGTTCCTGGGCTACATGCTGTCAACATAAAGCAAAAAGCCCATAGGAGAGAATGATACTGAATCTAAAGTTTGCAGGTCTTAGCTCTGAGGAGTTCACTGACAGAGCAACGTAAGCTTAAATAGGAGATACATTATTCTTCCACAGAAAACAGGACACAGAGGTTAAAGAACTTGCCCAAAGGCCCATGGCAACTCAGAAGTAGGTCAGGGAAAAAGGACCCAACACAAGTATGAAATGGACCAGGCAGCCGCATCGTCCGTATTCTGTCTCGTTGACCATCAGTACCAAAGGAATGTTTCACTGCACACGTGCAATTCTCATTCATTTCATTAAAAGTATAGATGCACAACTTAATCTCTTTTAAAATGTTTTACTGGTGACTTTTGTTTGTTACAGCATTTATTTCTCAGTATGTGCCTTTCCAGCCCTTCACTCATGTGCTGCTGCTCCCCCCACTCCCAATTATCAAACATTCTGTTGTAACAAAGAAAAAGTTCTGCAAAACTGACTGCTAAAGCAACTGGGTGTGCAACATTCTGTCCCTATAGTCCCTCACATATCCACTGACAGGAGAAAGTTTGGTTCATCATCTGTTCTCAGGAGCCAAGAATGGTCACTGCAATGACTCTGACTTCAGCTACCTGTTAGTACTGTTTTCATTTACAATGCTGTAGTCATTCTATAGAACAATTTAATTCAACATAAGTGGAATGAGGGCAAGAAACTGATGTAATCTCAGAGCATTATCTTGATAAAGTGGAAATAGCAGTGGACTTTGATTTGGAAGACTTGGGTTTGAATCCCATTGACTGGTAAGTTACTTACTCTCCCATTGATTAGTAAGTTATTTAACATCTCTGAGACTCAGTATCTTCATCTATAAAACTGTGATCCTAAAGCATAATCCTGTCACTCTCCTGCTCATGAAGCTTCAGTTGTTCCCTATGGCCTCTAGGATAAATACAAACTGGTCTACCTGGGATATAAAGCTCTTCACAATCTGGCTTTCCAGACTAATTGCACACTTCCCTTCAGGCCCTCAATGTTCCAGCCAAACTGGCTTCCTTGTTGTATAGTACCTTCTATCTCCTCACCCTGTGCCTTTATACAAGCCATCCCCATGCCTAGAATGGTCTTGCTCCTCACCTCTGCTCTGAAGAATCTGAGCTTCCTCAAAACCACAGCTCAGCAGGCGGACTTCAGAAAAACCTGAAAAGGCTTACATGAACTGAGGCTGAGTGAAGCGAACAGAACCAGGAGAACATTGTACACAGTAACAGCAACATCGAGTGATAATCAACTGACTTATCTCTTCTTGGCAATACAATGATCCAAAACAATTCCAAACGACTCATGATAGAAAATGTTATCCACATCCAGAAAAAAGAATTGATAGAGTCTGAATGCAGATCAAAGAACATTATTTTCATTTTCTTTATTTTTTCATGGTTTTCCTTTTTGTTCTGTTTCTTCTTTCACAACATGACTAATATGGAAATGTGCTTTACATGACTGCACATAAATAACCTATATCAAATTGTTTACTGTCTTAGGGAAAAGGAAGGAGAAGAAGGGAGGGAGAAAAATTTGGAATTCAAAATCTGATAAAAATTAATGTTAAAAATTGTCTTTATATGTAATTGGAAAAAATAAAATACTATTTAAGGGGGAAAAAAAAAGCACAGTTCAGTTGTCATCCCTCAACAAGAGGGCTTTTTTGATTGCCTCAGCTGTTAGTTCTCTCCTACCAAATTACTTCATATTTACTCTGTATATATTCTGTTGTAAAAGAAAATATTTTGTAAAGCTGAAAGAGAACATAATTGTGAATTACTATTAATTAAAATTATATATTCATAAATAAGCACTGAATCAACAAGCATTTATTTATCTAATTAAGATTTAGGTGCTAGAGATACAAAGACAAAAAGCAAGCAGTCCTTGGCCTCAAGGAGCATACACTCTGTGGGAGGAGAAAATACATGTAAGTATATACAAGCCCTCTTCCAAGTAGACAGAAGATGACCTTCAATGGAAAGGCACTAGCAGCTGGGAGGAGGGACAGGCCTGTGCCAGGAATAGCCTCCTGCATAAAGAGGTACTTCAACTTAGTCCTGAAGAAAATCAGGGACTCTTGAGACGTAGAGGAGAAGGAGGAAAGAATTGTAAGCAGGTAAAAGGCCAGTGAAAAGACAAAGAGATGAGAGATAACATGTTCTGTGTGAGGGACAACAAGTAGGCAGAACCACAGTATGGCTGAACCACAGAGTACATGGAAAGGAGTAATATATATGGGAAAGAGAGAATGAGACAGAGCAAGAGCAAGAGAGCCAGCCAGATCATGAAGAGCTCTAAATGCTCAACAGGGGAGTGGATATGTGATCCTAGAGATAAAAGGGAGCCACTAGAATTTATTGATTAGGGGTGTGGGGTGGGAATTCAGGTAACATGATCAGATCTGCACTTTAGAAAATATCTCTTTAGTGACCATGTGAAGGATGGACTGGAGTCAGGAGAAGCCCAACACAGAGAGAACAATCAGGAAGCTATTAGAATAGGCCAGGCAAGAGGTGATGAACTAGGGTGGTAGCTGTGTAAGTGGAGAGTGAGAAACACTGGAGAGAGAAATGATAAGATTTGGCAACTAACTGGATATGTGGTATGATGGAGGGAGAAGTTGAGGATGATCGTGAGTTTGGGAATTGGAAGGATGACGATGCCCTTGACAGTAACAGGAAAGTTCAAAAGAGGAATAGATTTTCTGGGGAAATGTAATGAGTTTTGTTTTTGAGATGCTTATGGGATGGATGTCCAGTTTAAAATGTCCAATAGACAGTTGGTGATGTGTGACTGGTGCTCAGGAGACAGACTAATCCTTCTGGATATATAAATCTGGGAGTCATCTTCATAGAAATGATAATTAAACCTATAGGTACCAATGGAGTCACCAAGACAGTAAGGAGGAAAATAAGAAGAGAGTCTAGGACCAAGCCTTGGGCTCTTGGACTCACCTCTGGGATATGGATGATGGCCCAGGAAAGGAGACTAGAGAGGAGCAGGCAGACAGGCAAAAAGTTTTAAGACTGATGATAGCTTATACCCCTAACTACAGTACTGCCTTAGACTCAACAATATGACACAGTAAACAAGGAGGTGGGTTTAGAGTCAGAAGAGCCTGCTTGTGTCACTGGGGCAAGTCATTTGACTTTTCTGAATCTCAGTTTTTTCCTGCCCAGGCATTTTCACCCCCATCCCTAACTTCCCAGCCCTGACTGGCCTGCAATGGGTAGTTCATGAAGCTGACTGACTGATATTTTCCAAATAAGGATACTCCACAAGCATGGGATGAACTGTGTCAACAAATGGGTAAAGAATATTTAAAAGGACTAGGTTGGCATCGCCATGATCTCTAGGAAGACTATGTACAACAGTCCAGTAAAGACATTTAGCCAGTTGTCACTGTCTTCTGTATACTTGTCCTTGAATTCCAACTGATCTAAAGTTTACTGTGACCAGAATAGAGAACGACAGTGACACGCAGAATGGAATTTAGGGGACTGCTATGCATAAATCTTCACTATGTACTGTCTGAGGAACCACCAACCTAAATGTGAGAGACCACCCATCCTATAACACTTTAGGAGTGGGATCCTTTCAATAGCATATGCCAGGTCGATGGTTTTTGAACAACACATGATCAATATTTTTGTATTACTATAGTCCAGCCCTCTTGTATTGATGGTTTTTCAATGCCACTTGAGTAGTAGCAATGCATAAATGAGGTGTGTATGTATATATACATACACATGTGGATTTGCCCTCAAATTCCTGAAGGATTTATTTGGGACTCAAAGGTTTTTTGGAGTCCCTAATAAATGATTTGAAAGTAAGTTCACTTATTCCTTTTAGTATCAAAAACATAAACAGAGTTAGCAGAGCAAGACAGCCACTACTCCCTAGAGCAATCGGAATAGTAATATTCCCTCCCTGCCTCAGGAGTAGATGTATGTCTTTCTTACTCCTCTTTCCCTCCCCCACCTGGAATGCTGAGGACCGATATTAGAACCCTGCTACGCCACCATCTAATGACGGATGACCCCTAGATCAGACAGTCACATCCGTGAAGGAGTTAGTTATCAGTGCATTAGTATTAATTAATATGAGAAAATTAATACCAGAGAACCAATTTCCAAAAGCAGAGCTTGTGAAAAAAGACAATCCTTGAAAACAGTAACTGAATTTTTAGCTTTGTCACTAATGCTAAATTTAACAAGAAAGTGCAAAATATGACTTCACATTTCAAAGAGATGCAGAGGAAGCTTATGGAATTCTAGAACACTAGGTGTATTCATTCTGTTCATTTTCCCACCCTCTAAAAATCCATCTTTCTAGTCTAGTACTTGTTTCTTAATTCTTCCAACATTTACCTTATCAGTAACTGTCATGAAAGCACCACTACTCTGTGCCAACAAATCTTGCCCTTGCAGCTGAGAACAGAAGACACTTTATAAATAGAACTTATGTAATATTTAAAGCATAAGAGCCTGGCAACAGGAAGAGATTTTCTTTTTAAAATTAAATATTTACATATCTGTGCAATTTTGAAGTCAAAAGGTTTCCAGGCAAGGGTGTCTAGGGAGCTTTGCAATGATTAGAGAAGTTAATCCCCAAACCTGACCATAGCACTACAATTTTGGGTATAGGCCCTGCCCAAATATCCCAGCCATATTGCTTTGTAGACCTTTTTGCCCCAGTGTGGGTTTCCAGATCTCCAAAGACTTTGCTAGTTTTTAGAAGAAACAGAATAAAACATACAAACCCTCTGAACTCAGACACTTGATCTGCCTCTGCTAAAAAAAATGAAAAGACAGGAGAGAATAGGGAGGTAGTGCCTCAGTAAGAATAATAATAGTCCATATGCTATAAGGTTTGCGGTGTGCTTCACCTACAACATCTCACTTGATTCTCATAACAACCCTGTGAGACCGATGCTATATTAGGATACCGAAGACAAC